TACTTGATTCATATATATATATATAACTACTTGATTTATATATACATATCACTACTTGATTCATATATATATATATAACTACTTGATTTATATATACATATCACTACTTGATTCATATATATATATATCACTACTTGATGCAAAGTGAATAAAAAATGCTTACGTTTTTTGATTTATGAAGAAATTCTTAAGAAAATATGATTATTATTAATATAACATAAATAAATAACTAACATTTCACAACAATGTATTATGCGATTCAGCCACTTAATTAATTCTTAATTACTTATAATTAAAACACCGACTATAAGTGACCGACACTTTTCAATCCACTCATTGTTTCTATTGAAGTTATAATCATTCCAGATTTGAACAGTATCTTTCAGTTTATAAAGAAGTAGAAAAACAAGTAATAAAATGTTGGCCACAAAGTTATTTCATAAATATCATGATACACATAATAAACATAAATAATTATCATGTTAACTTCTCCAGATAAATGTTGTTTATGACAATCTTCAAGTAAACTATTTTATTTTCGGTTCTCAAAAATAACCAGTTCGAACGTTTTTTATATAAGGTCATTTTGATTATTCATAAATCATCAATACTGAAGATACTTTTTCATGAATGATGCTGAAGTGTTGACTATGTTTAGCAGCTGTATCAAAATATGTAGATGTAATATTCACTCAGCGCAATATTTTCAGTTCATCTATATTACTTTACTGCTTGGCATTGCTTTTAATTTAAAATATGATACACTGTACAATAAGCAACAAAGTTCATTTGGTTTACGCTTCTTAATGTTCTGTACATACTGTAAAAATATTATCTGATAAATGAAGTTACGATGTTATGTATAACGCAAAATTTGATGTTACCAAAATATTAAGGCCTAGTCACGGAATATACAGTATGTTACAGATTTCCAGAACAATATGCCGTATTTGCTTTATATTATTATCTGTTTTGTTTCGGTTTAGCGCAAAGCAACACAATAGACAATCTCATCTTTGTCCACCGCTGTGAATCAGTTTCTGTAAGACCGTAAAACTTACCAAACTGACAAGCAAAGTATACAATAAAAGATGTAAAATGCATTCATTCAGCCACAGAAGGGTCGTCCATTATAACAACGATAAAATATTTCAACTCTTTTGTCAACTAACATAAATTGGTAATGATATTAATGAACTTAAATATAATTATTGAAAAGATGTATTCCCTTTTTTTTCTGTTCTAATTTAATATTAGTTTTCACTATCGTGTTTGTTATGATGATAATAATAACCAATTCGTGATGTGTTACCAAACATTGTATAATTACTTTTACTTCTCTATCAGTATAAAAAATACCTACAATCATATTCATGATGTTGGAAGATTTTATAAAATGTTCATTTTCTAATCAAACAAATACATTACCTTTAGTACTGAACAACATTACTTGAAACATGAGACTCGTCTTGCAATCTGCTACTTATCTTTAGTATTGAATAAAATAACGTTAAATATTAAACTCGTCTTAAAATATGCTATTTAACTTTAATATTGGACAAAATAACTTCAAACATGAGACTCGTCTTGCAATCTGCTACTTATCTTTAATATTGACAAAACAACTTGAAACGGAATACTCGTTTTATAACTTGCTACATGTGTTTAGTATTGAACAAAACAATTTTAAACATGATTGTCGTCTCACCATCTGCTATTTATCTTTAAGATTATACAAAACAACTTCAAACATGCACGAGACTTGTCTAAAAATCTGCTATTTATGTTTAATATTGAACAAAATAACTTCAAACATGAGACTACAATCTGCTACTTATCTTTGATATTGACAAAACCTCTTCAAATCTTGTACTCGTCTTTCACTAGTTATATATCTTTGAAGTTGAATAAAATAATTTTAAACACCATGCTGGCTGTTTTATTTATTGATATGTACGTTCAATATGCCCATGCGGGGGTATAAACACATTTTCAGTTTTGTATTTTACGTTTTGCGTTTTTATGGGTGTTTTCGCTTTTTCATTCTTTTACCACTACTTCGCCCCCTCTTGATGGATCTACACCAAGTTTGTCATAAGGTTTGTCGGGTCCATGGAAGATACGTGCAAATTTGTGGTTTCATATTTTGTATCTTGCAGTTTGTTGGGGCGTTTCTGCATTTTTTACAATTACGTATAAGGGAAGCAACTTTTCATGTTCTGAGACAGTGGTTCCCAACCTGTGGTCCCCAAATCCCCGGGGAGTCCGCGAAGATAATACCATCTCATTAAACAACTAAGTTTCTTAATTCTGCTGTTATTTTCAAAAAACATTGGGGAGGGGGGGGGGGGTCCTTGGTGGTGAAAAGGTTGGGAACCGCTGTTCTGAGATAACCTTTCATTATTCAGGAATTTACATAACTTCCGTACAGGAGACGGTTACTCCAGCTAGTAAAATATAAATTGATACAGTTTGTGTTAGACGTTCCTTTTTCATTCAGAAATCGTGATCTTATCATGGTAGCAGATATACATCGTCAGCCCAAAGTTGTCATGCTAGCCATAAGCTTGAATGTATTAAATTAACTTAAATGGAATAAAATCAACGTATTCAAGTAAGAGTGTTGACGTAAAATTACTCATTCGA